AGGAGCTCATGTTCTAAGAGAAATATCTGAAGGATGTTGTGGAGCACACGTGGGGTGTCGAGCTCTAACTGGAAAAGCCTTGCGAGCAGGCTACTACTGGCCTAAGATTCGAACAATAGCGGAACAGTTGGTCTAGAAATGCGAAAAATGCCAACGCCACGGGTAAATCACTCACATCCCAGCCGAATACATGACGACAATCAACTCTCCAATCCCCTTTGCTCAATGGGGAATCGACTTGGTGGGCCCGTTGCCAATGGTAACAGAACAAAGAAAGTTTTTAGTGGTCGCAATCGACTACTTCAGCAAGTGGGTCGAGACGGAACCCTTTGCAAGAATCACTGAGGAGAAGATGATACAATTCCTGTTCAATAACATTTGCTGTCGATTTGGAGTCCCGAAAGTGCTGATCTCAGATAACGGAACTCAATTCCAAGGGAAGCTAATTCAAGCATGGTGCCTCGACAAGGGGATTAACCAACGATTTGCCTCAGTTGCACATCCTCAGGCGAACGGTCAAGTTGAGGTAACAAATAGAACCATTCTCTGGGTTGAAGAAAAGATTAGAGAAGGCATCGAAAGCCTTGGTGGACGAGTTGACAACAGTCCTATGGGCTTATAGGACGACTCCAAGAAGTTCGATGGGTCAATCTCCATTTCATATGGTCTACGGAATGGATGCACTTCTGCCAGTAGAAGTCGGCTTGAACTCTCACAGGTCGACATTCTACGAAGAAAAGAAAAATAAGGAGATGGTCGGGGAGGCCCTCGACTTAACTGAAGAAGGACGAGAGGAAGCTTGGATACGATCCGTCAAGTACAAACAAAAGATGCGCGCAACTTTTGATAAGAAGGTCCGAACCAGACATTTTCAAGTGGGGCATCTCGTCCTCAAACGAGCCGACGCTCTCAAGCATGTTGGGAACCTCAAAGCTAATTGGGAAGGACCCTATAGTGTCACAAAGGTGCTGGAGAGAATTGCATACGAACTCGAGGATGGAGAAGGTCGACAACTGCCACGATCCTGGCACGTGATCCATCTCAAACACTTTTACGCTTAAGGCAATGTTTCAAACCCCCTTTTGTACTGAATAATGTTGAAATCGAATTTAGTAATGAAAGGAATTTCGAATTTATGCTTCAATTATGTCTCTTACATTCACGCGTCAATCTTACTATGATTGCCTGAAAAATCAAATTTTTCAAAACGGCTATGTAGCCGACTAACTCTAACGACTACGAAGTCGATTTAAACGACTACGAAGTTGTACGCTCGAGTGGAATCTCGAGCAGGCTACGAAGCCTATGACTACGAAGTCGATTTAAACAACTACGGAGTTGTACTCTCGAGTGGAATCTCGAGCGGGCTACGAAGCCTACGACTACGAAGTCGATTTAAACAACTACGAAGTTGTACTCTCGAGTGGAATCTCGAGCAGGCTACGAAGCCTAAGACTACGAAGTCGATTTAAGCAACTACGAAGTTGTATCTTTCGAGTGGAATCTCGAAAAGGCTACGAAGCCTACAACTACGAAGTCTACTAACACAACTACAAAGTTGTATCTTTCGAGTGGAATCTCAAAAAGGCTACGAAGCCTACGACTACAAAGTTGTAACCTTCGAACGGAATTTCGAATAAGCTATGAAGCCGACTTAAACAAGTGTTGGAGTATTGACAAGGGATCTTGAAATAAACATAAAGCTAACTACGCTACCAAATATGAAAACGCAATAATGCGGCTCCGACGTTTATCAGCTACGAAGCTGCTAAAATCTTTACTTGACTTGGATTAGCTCGCAAGCTGGGTTGGGAGAAGACGAGTTGAAAAAATTTTTGATTATCTGCTATGAAGCTGCTAAAGTCATTGCTCGACTTCGACCAGCTCGCAAGAAGGGTTGAGAGAAGATGAGTTGAAAAACTTTTATGTTTATCAGCTACGAAGCTGCTAGAGTCGTTGCTCGACTTCTACTAGCTCGCAAGAAGGGTTGGGAGAAGACGAATTGAAAAACTTTCATTTATCAGCTACGAAGCTGCTAAAGTCGTTGCTCGACTTCGACCAGCTCGCAAGAAGGGTTAGGAGAAGACGAGTTGAAAAACTTTCGTTTATCAGCTACGAAGCTGCTAAAGTCATTGCTCGACTTCGACCAGCTCGCAAGAAGGGTTGGGAGAAGACGAGCTGAAAAACTTTTGTTTATCAGCTACGAAGCTGCTAAAGTCGGTGCTCAACTTCGACCAGCTCGCAAGAAGGGTTGGGAGAAGACGAGTTGAAAAACTTTCGTTTATCAGCTACGAAGCTGCTAAAGTCGTTGCTCGACTTCGACCAGCTCGCAAGAAGGGTTGGGAGAAGACGAGTTGAAAAACTTCAGTTTATCAGCTACGAAGCTGCTAAAATCGTTGCTCGACTTCGACCAGCTCGCAGAAAGGGTTGGGAGAGGATATATATATATACGGACAAGGAAATATAAATCCACACACAATTACATAAAGACATTAGTCGGTTTGAAGCCGAACAAGAGCAAGTTATCTCAACATAAGACGAATAAGAAAAATACAAGGCATAAAGGCGAAAGAAAGGAAAAGGGCATAATATTCATAGCCAAAACGCATACATCCAAAAAATGTCTCGACCTTTACAATAAGAAATATAGGTCGAGACAAGCAGAACATGCGAAACAACTAAATAAAAGCTAGAGAGCAACAACCAGTCAAAAAAAACAAAAACAAATATTTTCAAGACTCAGCATCAGACTTCTTCCCCTCGCCATTATCATCGGCGACCACTGTCTCAGTCATCTCGGCACCATCGCCCTCAGATACATCAATTGGCTTCTCGGCACCATTTCCCTGGCCTTCATTAGAATTTTCACCACCCTCCTGCCCCCCGTCACCAGCATCGCCTCCCCGACCGGCTCCTACCTCTCCTCGACATCAAGAGGCCCCTCATGATCCGCTCCACTTGGCCCGACTAATCTGGTTGGACCGACCAAGGGAGCGGGGGGAACCTCGAGTCGACCATCCAACCCAGCCTTACGAATGGCTCTTGCCTCGAGACCAACCCACCACGGGTGGTAGGAAGGAAGAGCAGCATCGAATTTATAGCCGGCGGGGAAGGGCAGTGTCTTCTTGACTTCCTCGGGAACCAACTTACCAGCACACTCCGTCCCATCCATAGCCGCCTCCCATGCGTCGAATGTATGATTGAAGTATTGGAGAGTCGCGGGGCAGAGCATGTCGAGGAAGGCGGGAGAATTGCAAAAAAGCTTGATAGCCTCTTGACGATAATGCTCGAGGAACACAGAGCCCATCGGAGACTTAAGAAAAGTCCGACGTCCCTCGAGGACCCACCGCCTCCCTCTCGACCATTCCATCGTCGACAGCTTTCTCCAAGTCGGCGCGCAGCTGGTCGACCTTTAAAAGTGTGGCAGCTTTTTCGATCTTGTTGGCAATTATAGCATTAGCTGCCGCGAGGTCGTCTTCCTTCTTCTCCAGCTCGCGGTCCTGGTCTTCACACTTCTTCTTGTAGGCATGGACGCTGGAATTGGGCGAGCTTCACTCCTCGAGCAGAGTAGGCATCATATACACCATAAACTAAAAAGAAGAAGTAAACCACGAAATAAAGAGCTAGAACCAAAAAAAGGAAGTCGACCGAGGTAAAGCCGAGGATATTTACTCGAGAGAAATAGAGTAGAGCGCGATTGGCACGATCATAGGGATCCCGATCGGCACTAGCCTTATCAGCCGCAGGGATGATGGAGTCGAGGTACTTGGCAATCTCGTGTGGATGGTGTGGCACCCCGCCTTACTAGCTTTTGAAAAATCAGAGTAAAATTTTCGCTTTTATTTTCGAATGGTGGTGCGAGCTTGGTTTTCGAAAATACTAACTTGTTGCGGGATGTCACAGATAAAACTTACTTAACTTACTCACAGACATAAATAAAACATGCAACCAAGCTATCCGCTGTGGATAATGGAATTAAACATGCAATGTCTGAACTGTCTCGCACAGTCTAAAGTCTGCTAGCGGAAGCATCCAAAATACAGAAATACATAGAGTACATGCATACATATCTGAATGAATATATGATCATAAATATAAGGACACAAAATGTGCATAAAAATGTCCTCGCTGTCATGACCACGCTTCGCCACGCATAGCTCACCCGGCACGCTCGACTCCGTCTCCTGAAAAACACAATGGGGGCGTGAGCAAACCACTATGCTCCACAAAGACCAGTACTGAATAAGACATCATGTATAATAATGTATCATGGACATAAATATATAAGAGCTGAACTGTAAACTTTTCTTTTCTTTCTGTACTGTGGTCAAAAGACCCTCGGCCTTGGCCGCTCGTGTGCACACCCCGATGGGATATTAAGGCCCTCGGCCTCCACCGGTACCAGGTAAAACTTGAAAGGCCCTTAAGTCAGCCTATCACCTGGAAAAACTAACTGTCTTGAACATACCTCTGCCATGGTACAAATATTATATATAATGTGGAAGCCAGTACATGACCCCCACCTGAAAACTTGAAATATGATATGCAAGTGCTGATGCTGGAGTAGCGGACGGAGGCTCGACTCTCCTTAGGCTACATAAATATTTAAGCAAAATAATGCTAAGTATCATGCTCGGAATAATTAATTATATGCTAAAATGCTCGGACTATTCTACGCGATTAAACTGGACTGGACTGGCTCAGAAAAATACTGAAATTCCGAAACTAGACTCGGATCAGAAATCACGAATCAAAACTGACTCGAACCGCCGGTCATCGACCCATCCGAGCCCAAGGACGAGACGCGCATAAGCCGAGAAAGGAAGCGCGCAAGAGCCCGGGATGAGTACCAAGACCGTGCTAAAAGGGCCCGGAGAGGTTACACGGCGAGTGATACGCGTAGGGCTGAGTATTGGGCCGATGATGAGAGCAAAAGGATTGAGCCCGGAGGAGTGGGTGAACGGTGTAGGGCTTGTGCAAGAGACCGGCGCAAGCAACGCATGCGCGCTAAGGCCGAAGGAGCACGAGGGGTGGATGAAGGGTGGACAGCGTGCGCATGTGGTGGCTGCAGTGGCGCAGACGCAAAAGTGGGTTGGAACGATGTGAGGGGCTCGACAAGCGGGTACGAACGGGACGCGAAGACGGGAGTCACGCACAAGGCGCTGGTCGAGCAGGGCTGTGATGGCGAGGGCGCGGGTACGCTAATGGGAAGGGTCGACAGGGTCGACAAGCCGAGCAGGTGCAGGCACGCGCTCGAGGTAAAGGGGTCCACGCGAAGTGCTGGCGATAACGCGCGAGACGCGCGAGAGATGATTGGCGCGAGTCCTCGAGGGATTAGGCATAGCGCGCCGACTGAAGAGAATCCACGAGACTTGAGGCGCAAGGCAATAGACGCGTGCGACGCGTGGGGCGCAGGAGGAGGCCGTGACCTCGAAGGACAAGGATTAGCCATGACGACTAGGGTTGAAGCGCGCGAGGGTGCGCGATCCTTCTAGAAGGCCTAAAGGCCGATTTTCCTTAGTAGCTTAGGAATAATAGTTTTGTTAGGATATGGAATAAAAGGCATGTGCCTAAGTAGTTTAGATAAGTCTATATTTACTTTCCTTAGGACTTTATTTGTTTGCTTAAATTAGGAGTTTTTCTTAGACTAGGATTAGATCTAATTGGTATCTATAAATACCACCCATATGTCATTCGAAATATATGATTAAGAAGTAATGGAAAATCGTTCGTGAGAACAAAACCGTGTGTTTAGAATTCGTGAGAGTTTTATTATACAAATCGAGTTGGCTAGGCTAAGACCCGAACCATCTCAAAATCGTGAGAAGATAAGGCTAATAACTGAGTCGTCCACACCTATCGTCGAAGGACAAGCCGTGGCAAAGCTTGGTTCGAGACAATCGAGTTGGGAAAACACACGATCCTTCATCATTGGTGCTTTCATTGAGAGGTGTTGATCGTGTGTTTTGTTTAACTTTTTCTATCTTCTTCTTTTTAGAACTTTCCCTTTTTCTTTTTGTAAGGGTCGAGTGTTATAAAAAAAAAATATATTTTACATAGTGTGTGTGAGTTTTGTTAGTTATCAAAAAAAAAAAAAAGAGAGAGAGAAGCCATGACAAACCGAGAGAGATTCGAGATGTTGGAGGAGAGCATGAGATCCCTTGGTGATGGATAACATGCTGCCAACGAGAATTTTGCAAAGCTGGAGCTCATGGTGCACGATCTTGAGGCACGACTTGCTCGAGCTACACGACGACCGCGAGGAAGTCATAGGTCGTGTTCGACCACAGCTCGATCGAGCAGCTCCGAGTCCGACCACTAGGACCATGATCGACGATCGAGGAGGACACGAGCGTCTGGTCGACGCGAGGAGAGAAAGGTCGAGAAGCCGAGTCTAACCATGCCGACGTTCAGGGGGACCGACCGGGATGCGTGGTTGAGTCGAGCTACTCAATATTTCGAGATCAATGACGTGCCCAAATTTGATCGAGTCAAAATCGCCGCCTACTATCTCGATGGTGAGGCGAATGTATGGTGGCAATGGATCTCGCACGTCTACAAAGGCAAAGGTATGCGGGTAGATTGGAGAGATTTCGAGAAGGAGATCATTACGCGCTTTGGATCGAGCCAATACCATGACTATGACGAGGCACTCACTCGTATACGTCAAGGTGGTAGTCTACGTGATTACCAAAAAGAGTTCGAGCGCATTGCTAGTCGAGTGCGCGAGTGGCCCGAGAGTGCATTGGTTGGAGCATTTGTGGGTGGGCTCAAGCCCGAGCAGGCTATCGAGGTACGATTAGATCGACCGAGGTCAATGCGAGCTGCCATGGAGTCGGCACGAATGCGAGAGGACCATCTGATTGCGATCCGAAAGACGAGTCGAGGTGATGGACGCGTCGGGACACGGCGCACGAGTACGGTCGCGGACCCATCGCCGCTGATCGAGGACGCAAAAGTGATCGAGGTGGTTCGACCACCGAATTACATGCGGCGTGTAAGTTCCGAAGAGATGCAAAGGAGGCGCGAGAAGGGTCTATGCTACTCGTGCAATGAACCGTTCACGCCCGGGCATAGGTGCAAGGGTAAAGAGGTTTACCTACTCGACACATGCGAACCCGAGGAAGCACAAGGTGAAGGAGGGCACTTGTACTTGAATCCACAATTGGAGATGCTGCACATGGTCAAAGCCGAAAAAGGACCTAAGATGATGAGGTTCGAGGCCGAGATTTTGGGACGAAAGGTCAATGTGTTGGTCGACAGTGGGTCAACACTCAATTTTGTTAGCTTGAACTTCACCACAAAGCTCGAAATACCAATGACCGGAGTTGTACATTTGGGGTACGAGTGGCAAACGGCGAAGAGCTTTGGAGTTCGGAGCTATACAAAGATGTCCCGATACAAGTGCAAGGAGAAGAGCTGAAAGTGGAATTGTTTACGCTAGATCTTGGAAGACCGAAAGTGGTGTTAGGGGTCCAATGGTTGGAGACGTTAGGGCCCATAGTTACCAATTTTAAAACGGGAACGATGGAGTTCAAAAGGGCCAAGAAGAGGATCAAGCTATGCACGAGTGACGAATGAACTGAGCCGGTCGAATTGAAGAGTCTTCAATTCATTCTCCTTGAGGACAAGGTCAAACTCAAAGGGGGATGGAATGATGAGGATGTGGTCATCGACCCATCCGAGCCCAAGGACGAGACGTGCATAAGCCGAGAAAGGAAGCGCGCAAGGGCCCGGGATGAGTACCAAGACCGTGCTAAAAGGGCCCAGAGAGGTTACAAGGCGAGTGATACGCGTACGGCTGAGTATTGGGCCGATGATGTGAGCAAAAGGATTGAGCCCGGAGGAGTGGGTGAATGGTGTAGGGCTTGCACAAGAGACCGGCGCAAGCAACGCATGCGCGCTAAGGCCGAAGGAGCACGAGGGGTGGATGAAGGGTGGACAGCGTGCGCATGGGGCGGCTGCAGTGGCGTAGACGCGAAAGTGGGTTGGAACGATGTGAGGGGCTCGACAAGCGGGTACGAACGGGACACGAAGACGGGAGTCACGCACAAGGCGCTGGTCGAGCAGGGCTGTGATGGCGAGGGCGCGGGTACGCTAATGGGAAGGGTCGACAGGGTCGACAAGTCGAGCAGGTGCAGGCACGCGCTCGAGGTAAAAGGGTCCACGCGAAGTGCTGGCGATAACGCGCGAGACGCGCGAGAGATGATTGGCGCGAGTCCTCAAGGGATTAGGCATAGCGCGCCGACTGAAGAGAATCCACGAGACTTGAGGCGCAAGGCAATAGACGCGTGCGACGCGTGGGGCGCAGGAGGAGGCCGTGACCTCGAAGGACAAGGATTAGGCATGACGACTAGGGTTGAGGCGCGCGAGGGCGCGCGATCCTTCTTGAGGGCCTAAAGGCCGATTTCCCTTAGTAGCTTAGGAATAATAGTTTGGTTAGGATTTGGAATAAAAGGCATGTGCCTAAGTAGTTTAGGTAAGTCTATATTTAATTTCCTTAAGACTTTATTTGTTTACTTGCATTAGGAGTTCTTCTTAGACAAGGATTAGATCTAATTGGTATCTATAAATACCACTCATATGTCATTCGAAATATATGATTAAGAAGTAATGGAAAATCATTCGTGAGAACAAAACCGTGTGTTTAGAATTCGTGAGAGTTTTATCATACAAATCGAGTTGGCTAGGCTAAGACCCGAACCATCTCAAAATCGTGAGAAGATAAGGCTAATAACCGAGTCGTCCACACCTATCGTCGAAGGACAAGCCGTGGCAAAGCTTGGTTCGAGAAAATCGAGTTGGGAAAACACACGATCCTTCATTAGCGCGCACTGGCGCGGACAGGCACGACCAAGCACTGCTAGCATGGCCTAGGCACGACTGGTGCCTCTCGGGTGCACGCTGGGCATGGCCGAGGCTCGACTGATGGCCTGTCGTGCGGCTGGGCACGGACGGGCACTGGACAGACTCTGCTGGCACGGGACAGACGCGGGCAGAGGCCACACGGGCGCTACCGGCCGTCCCCGAGGTCACTGGGCACTCGGGCGTGCTGCTGGACACGCACTGAGGCCGACTGGGCTCAGCTGACCCGGCTCGGGTCAGCACTGGACTTGGCACGAGGCTCTGGCGTGAGTCCTCGTGCGCTGGGACTTGGCACAATGCTGCCGGGCGCCGTGCTCGTGGGTCGTGCACGCTGGGTGCCGTGACCACGCATGCTGGGTGCTACTGGGGCTGATGCTGGCCACACTGGCATGCACTGGGTGCTGTGCACGCGGGTTGTGCCTCGCGCCTACCGGGCGGTGGCACTGGCTAAGGCTAGCCTCTGCAAGCACTGGGGCTTAAGGTACCGCACGCACGCTGGCGCGGGCACGGATTGGCGCTGGACCGAGCACTGCCGCGCTATTTGTGCGGCCAGTGACCAAGGCCGGCCCTTGCCGGACTTCCGGCGACTTTCTCCGGTGACATGCATGACCATACATCATAATATGATAAAATAAGCACAATTAACACATAAAACACTAGTGGACCCCGGGTCCACTTGCATGTTCACTCGGTAGGGCTTATACGGCCCGTACAAGCACTTGACGTCCGAACCAACATACATGACTTACAAAACTACTCAAGGCCAAATATACTACATAAAAAATGATGACAATGTGGGCTGATACTTAGGTCATAACATGCATGCATCTTGGCTTGACTCGGGAGTGAAAATTCACATAAAATCATGAACATTTTGACTAAGGTAATGAACTCCAATTATGCTCAAACTTTTACAGCATTAATTGTATGATAATTAAAGGTGATTAAACCAATAATATCGACTTAGGCATGCTCGTAACTCAAATTTCATTTTTAAGGCTATTAACTTCAAAAATTCAGAACTCACATATAATCACATGCATGGCTCGGTTTTTCTTCATGAAAAATCTTAAAATGTCATATAATAATTAATGAACTCAAGAATCATGAGCTTACCTCGGCTACAAGTTGAGAATTCGAGTTAGGGCTCAAACTAGGGCTAGGCGCGGCTAAGGGACTTAGGGTGGTCTTAGAGTGGAATTTGGCCGAGCTTGGTGGTCTCAAAAGTCTTAGAAAAATCTAAGGAACTCTTAGAAATGTCTAAGCCTCGAGAGAAATGGCTTGGAACACGAGGTGGCTGCCTCCTCTCCTTCCCCGGGCTGGGCGCGTGCGAACAGGGTCTAAGGACTTTGGCTCGGTTTTTCTATGACTTCCCTCACTATATACCCGAGCTTAAATTTGTGTAAGAGCTCAAAATGGACTATGAGAGGGGTCTTAAATAGGTTCTGGGGGCGGAGTGGTCTAGGTTGGTCATGGGAGACTAAACAAGTAGGAAATGTCACCACATGCTCATGAAACTTAGGGCCATTGTCTTGACATGCATTTGACCTGACTTAGCACATTTTTTGTGATGTTTTCAGAGTATTTTATTAGGTCACAAGGAGTCTGGTCAGTCTTTCTCAAGACTAGG